TGATTCGGGAATTATGATGATAATCTTTCTTTTTATTCTCTGAAATTTCTTCATAGTGAGCACTGGCATTTAAGAACCCCCCTGTGTTCTTATGTCGTCCAACAACTTAATAGAGGAGCATCTGTTTGTGCCCTTTATATTTCCTTGATCTTGCAGGGTGTCTTTTGTACGTAGAGAAAAGTGTTGTTAGCAAATGCTACTGCATTAATGTTTACTGCAAATGCATTAGTATTCTGCTTTCATTGCTTATATTACAATTCTGTTTATATTGGTGTCCCATCTGCTCCTGTCAGGTTCTAATTATCTGTGGTAAACATTCTTTGATTCTTCTGGCAATATTTCCCAATTTCTACAAAGCATGTAATCTGTGTTTTGTTACTTCTTAACTTTCTACATTGAACTATGTCAGCCTTCCCCAAGCTAGTGGTTTCCAAATGTTTTGGACTACTGCTTCCAGGATTCCTGCTTATCAGCTATGTTAGCTGATGGGAGATGGCTTCTAAAACATCTTGAAAGCACCACATTTAGGAAGGCTGGACTATGTTTCAATTACACATGCACACACGTAAGCACACTGCATTATCAGGGAAACACAGAAACATATACTTCTTTTCACATCTTTACCTTTGAGTACTAGCAAAATTCTAGTGTAATCCTTGAGCATAAGTATATATACTCTAGGACAGTAGTACTACTTCTCATTGACTGTAAAAACACACACTGAAGTATAGGAGCCATATGTCAGAGTGAAAAACTGGTAATTAAATTTATTATTGTATGTTGCAATATGAAATATTGGAGGTGTCAGGGATATACTGCAGAGTACTAAATTGTTTTGATAATGTGCTCATACTTCATAACAGCAGATGAGTATGGAAATGCTATTTTGAAAAACTGGCACTTATGCTTCTTCTCAGTAGACAATTGAACATGCTTTGACTAGTGTGCTAAAATTGAGGTTATTTAGCTACATGGAGGTTTATGTATGAACAGAACAGAAATGGGCATTACTAAAGTTTCTAAAAAGTATTAACAATCCACCCTTCCCCTCTCCTATATTCATTTCTGTATTGTTGGAAATGAGCAGTATATTATTGGCTTGTTGCAGATTGAATAATTTTTTTAATGGTGCAACTTTTTTTCCTTAAAAACACCAAGCTTGAAAATATGTTCAGCAATATACTACACATACAAATTAAGCTGGAATTTTGCTCAACTGATCTTGTTTTAGTTAAAATACTCTGTTTAACTAATGCAAAGATTATGTGCAATCTGTGTTGTATAGCTTTTTGTAAATAACTATTGGAAAAGTAACCCAGAGTACCATAAACCCTTGAGTTGGCACATCTGAGATTATTCATAACAGAGGAGCCCCCTCCCTCCCATCCTCTTTGGACTTGTGGGTACATTTGGGAATTTGATAAAAACTGCTGTGGGTTGGCAGCACCACAAAATTGCTCCCATGAGGGATGTGGCTAGATACATAATGATTGCCATGGGGGCTGGCTAGTCAGCAGAGGAGAGGAGAGAAAAATAATGAGGCTAGTGGCTGTGAGGGAGAGGAATTAGCAAGGCAAAGGGGGATAAAGGTTGGGACTCTGGAGATACAGTGAAGTAAAAAGGTGGCTGATGGAGCAGTGGGGCTGCAGGCTCAGAGTGGAGAGAAACAGCAAGATGAAGGGGTGAGTGGGAAAGCATGAGCAAGGCTGGGGGCTAGGGCAGAAGAGGAATGGGGTGGGGAAGGGGGAGGAAAAGTGAAGAAAGAAATGGAGTGGAAGGAGACAGCAAAGCTAAGGGATGGAAATGGAGAGACAAAGTGCAAAGAGGAAAGGTATGCAGGGATGGAAGGTGGAACCAGGAAGCCACGGTTTCTTTCAAAGCAGATCAGCAGCAGTTCAGGAGAAGGCAGGTGCCTGGATATTTTTTTTCAAGTTTTCTATTAAAAATAAAAAATTGAAGAGAGGAGGGCATGGATAGCTTTGTGGGCACCATCCAAAACCCCACAGTGTTTGGGAACTCCTGACTAGAAGACATACTTGAACAGCCAGTTGCACTATGTAGGGATTTCTAGGTAGTTTTTCATCAGTGCATTAGCAAGGCCCAGACCTGTTTTACTTTCTCATAAAACTATGAGGAGTTAATTCAAAATCTTACCTGGGCTGGAGATAAAATGTTGAAAATAAAAGAATGCATAAAGATGCACAGCTTAATCTGAGATGCATGTGCATGGAGCCCTTCAGGGTCTTAACTGTGCTCCCGCAGGGGTACTGACTCAGCTACCTTCCATTACTACTGAATTCCCCATGGCAGTTTCCCACAAGTTCTCCTAGTGCTGCCAACAATCCAGGTCACTCTTTCTAGAGAGGAAAGCACAATCTTTCCAAAATCTCTGGTGGTGGGGGGACAGTTGGGGGAGGGGGAATACACACATGTGTGTGTTATCAAGTCAGCATCACTCCTGTGCATGCTTGGACAGAAGAAATGGTCAATTCAAGGAAGGTGGTTTATGCTGCTGCTTGGTGATTCTCATGCTGTCCCATCTGTCCTTGTATATTATCTGTCATCTTTGGACCATAGCAAGGAATGGTTCTGTTCCTTGAATAGTTGGCTTGCAGTACCCAGGTTCATAAGAGCTACTTTTGCATACTGGTGTCCTAATAGTGGGCCCTAATAAGCTAGCTGCAGCCACAAAGGGAGAAGACTTCGCTGACATAGTTGCAGGAAGAATATTTAGCGTTATAACAAACCCCACTGAATATTTAGATTTACTCCCTTAGTTTCCAAAGAGAGAAGCCTTATGTAACCAAGTATAAGCATTTAATTAATGCCTTAATTTCCCATTGCCAGGAACAGAAGAAGTGTGCATATATGTAGGCATTAAGCATCTCAAAACTGCACTTTAGGAGGTACAAGTATGTAGACTTTCCACAAGTATAATGTTCAGTGACCTGGTTCCCACATGGGAAGACTTAAAAAGCACATGAAGAAACATTTAAATTATATTAGTGTATGGCAATGGCAGTGTGATTGTAGGTGTTACACAACAAAAATCTGTTTGAATCACGAAGCAGGAATTCAGGCTGGCTAGTTATTAGGTTGGGAGAGGTTGGGAAAGTGTAATAAATTTTTCCTGAAATCATAAAACTTGTCCAGCGAAAACTTGTACTGGATTGAAACCATGTTAATTTTGAACAAATAATATATCATTGTATTGTACACCACCCGGAGAACTTTAGTTATTGGGCAGTTTAAAAGCAGAGTGAGTGTGTAAGTAAATAAAGCTTGTCTCTTTAGGATTTTTATACTACATTTCTGTTACTCTCAGTAAAGAAACACTCATATTCAGACAGAAAAAAGTTCTGCAGCTCCCAGCAGGTTAAGTGTAAAGTTAAAATGAAAGAAGGTAGAGTTGCTAGACAGACTTTTAGTATGCAGTCCTATGCATGTTTAGACAGGGAAGTCGTAAAACTCATGCACCCAAATTAGTCTTTAATATAGATCCATTTTGTCTTCAATATGTGTGGGAGACATTTAAAATATTGTATAGTAACATGTCAGGAATGCTTGTTTGGGTGGTACAGGGTTGAATCTAGACTGCTAGTTTCACATAAGACCCATTACCAGTCATTACTAACATGAAGATATATCTCTTCTGACAAAACTTCTCGGATTGGTTTTATTGTTTTTAGTCTAAATTCAATTTAAATTGAATTACAGTGGTACCTCAGTTCATGAACTTAATTTGTTCCACGATTCTGGTTGCAAACTGAGTCAAATTTCCCCATATGGTTCAATGTAAATAAGGTTACTCTGTTCTGAACCATATATAATTTTTTAACCACAAAAATATGTAACAAAGTACAGTACAGTACAGGATGAAGAGTGAGAACACTAACCTTGCTTGAGGCGACTTCTGGCATGGAGGACAGGAAGGTGGGTGGGGAGGAGGTTATAGTTTAGAGAGAGAGTCTGCAATCGCAATCTCAAGTAGAGGAAGCCATGACCATGGGTCAGAGCAGGGAAGATGGCCGCGTTCATGCTCATCACCCAATGCAGAGTTCGCGAACAGAAGCAAAATTTTGCCGAACTTTCTGTTCACGAACCGAATTGTTCACGAACAGAAGCATTCGTGAACTGAGGTATTACTGTAATTTAGTTGTTAGTTTAAATTTCTGGTAAACTGCCCAGAGCCTATGGGAAGGGAGTGGTATATAAAGTCCAAATAAATAATAAAATAAAAATAGCATGTTCACCTGCTTCAATCTATATCTAACTTGCAATGTTCTTTTCAGATTGATTTATCTGGGTGACTCAGTTTTACACATTTAAAATGTGGGTCTATGGGTCTAAAATGTTAGCATAAGTTTTTTCAGTTGTGGATCCCAGAATCTACATTCAGGATCTATGGTCAGCATGGCCTGGAAATAAAAAGGTAGAAAACCTCTGTGCATGGCTCAAATGCCTAGTATAAGCTGCTCGTGGTAACAGGTGTTAGGGGTTCCAGTACTACTGTAAGGGGCTCAATTATTATGTTCCATTCCTTTCATATGTTCAAGAAAGAACCTTGAGCATGGTGCATTTTGAGCCTTGCTTTACATGGTGCTTTCTTCATTATTTTACTAATGAAAAATGAATTGTTTAATTCTATGAAACAATGCATTTTTAGAAACACAAACATTTCCCACAGAAAAACTAGCAAAGTGTTTCCAAAAATCCGTTGCAGAAATTGTTCCAACCTACAACATTCTTGCCTATCAAATGTTCATAATGTAGCACATTGTATGGCAACCCATGGATGCTCAGAAAATTCCTGGAGCCTATAATTTGGCATATCATTGCTGCTTTTGCTCTGGAGGGGGGAATAGGGAAAAGTTGCAAGTGGCCACTAGAAATGGAAGATATATGGCTTTGAGCTGCTTGCTCAATCATTTCCATTGTATTTGGAGATTATTTTACACATTGATTTTGACTTAAAATTCATTCTTTTTTATATCTTTTAGGAGAACCCATAGAATGTCTTCGAGAGAGTGATTACCTTTTGATTCATTCATGTCGACAGTGGACAACAATTACAGCTCATAGTCTGGAGGAGGGTCATTATGTTATAGGGCCGAAAATTGAAATCCCTGTGCATTATGCTGGTGAGTGTGAGTTTAGCTTTGAATTAAATACAGAATTAATGGGTGAATAAGATGCTTAGCAACTGTACCAGTTTTTTTGCATGGCAGAAGGAAGCAATACTGAACCTGAAGGTCACAGTACCCTTGTTTGAACATAACATTATCGCATGGTTTATTTAACCTATGGTTCCTTGCCCTGTCCAGGGTTCAACTTGGAAGATGATGGAACAAATCATGGCTTGATTTCTCAAAGTGTAGAGCGTTTCCTTCCTTTAAACACTTGCTCCCTGTATTTCAAATAGGAATGTTTGAAGAATCTGCACTGAATATTCCCACAGCTCCCTGAACTCCAACCCACTTTCTTATGGCTCTGAGTCCAACCTGGCACCAAGACTGCCAAGTTTGCACATGGGTGCCCACCAGGAAGTGAAGCAGCACAAATGCTGTGCAAGTGACTTCCCTCTTCCATGCACATGATTTGCAGTCTTTGTTCTGCACATGCTCTGGAGAAAGGTTGCTAGGTTGTATAATGGGTATTCTGCATGCATCTGTGGATGTCTTCTCAGCATGGCTCACTTCCTAAGTGAGGGCTGAGCACAAGAAATTCTGTCCTCAGAATTAGTCGAAAGAGAAGAGGGCAAGATTCCATGGAATCATTGCAAGCCAAATGTTTTTGCTGCACTGTAGTACTGTCATATCTAGCAGCTGGATTTTGAGGGGTTGTTAACATGCTTACCCACTACCTCTGTAGCCTGGTGACACAACCTGTCATTCTAGATTTACATGAAATGAAAGTCTGTGTCTGTACACAAAAATAAACCATGTGTGTCCTTGCATTATTTATGGAAAACTAACCATAATTTGTTACTGCAGCTGAGTTTATACATCATGAGAAACCAGAATTAAACAACCCATAGTTTAAATAAACCATAGGTTATTGTTATTCTAGCAAAATATGTGCCGAAGTTGAATTGCATCTTGTTTCCCCCTGCAGATACATCTGTGCATGATTGGACTTGCATTATGCAATAGCCCATCATGAGTAACTAGCCATGATGATTTGTTGTGTCCTGTGAAGATGGATGGCTCCCCACAGGGTAGCCTAATTTTGAGCAACAAGCCACTGTGACAACCTGTGGCTTTTTGTTGTTGAATCCAAGATGGGTTATTTTGTTGCCAAACCCAGGAAACCCATCCCATTGCAGGTTGCAGGAAGTGGCAAACTCCCCTTTCCATACTGGAGGATTTTGCATGGAACAGGTACCAGCTACATTACACCTAAAACCATTCAGCCACATGAATGCCTGCTTACGCCAGTTCCGGACAGCAGTGTAATGTGCTTCTGAATAAACATTTGTACTGTAGTAAAAAGGATAACAATTGGTGGCTCATGTTTTTATTTTTCCCTTATAAACAACTATTCAGTCTGCCCTATTACTTTTTGCAAACTAATACCATTGAATAATGAGCACTCTGCATGTTTCTAGACTACAGGGGTTGATAGAGAACATGTTGTATCAACAGCCGTTCATCTTATACATCCAGCTTGTCCTGTAACTCGATTGGTTCCTTTTCTTATCCCATCCCTGACCTCTTTGTCTTTGCAAGAATCACGAGCAGTGACACTAATAGAAGCAAATAATGGCATATATCACTTTTGTTTATTTGCAGTCATGCACCCAGCTGTAGAGGATACTTATAGGTTGGTACAGTATAGGCCTCATTAACCATATGCATAAAAGGTTAGCCCGCAAAGGTGCAGCGTTGTAGCTTGGAGTTCTCCTTGATCCATCTTTGTCACTTGAGGCTTAGGTGGTTTCATTGTCTCAGAGTGCCTTCCGCCACCTTTGGCTGGTGCCCCCTAGCTGGACAGGGATGGCTGGCTTAAATAAGCTATGATTTGTTAACCTCTAAATAGATTACTGCAATGCAGTCTACATGGGGCTACCCTTGAAGACTGCTCAGAAGCTGCAACTTTTGGAGAATGCAGCAGCCAAATTAATAACTAGAATCTGCAAGTCTGGACACATAAGATCAGTTCTGATCCACTTGAATCAGCTTCCTATATGCTTCTGGGCCCAATTCAAAGTGCTGGTTTTAATATATAAAGCCTTATGTGGCTTGGGACCTGTTGGAATACCACCCCTCTACTTGGACATTACTCTCTACTTCTGAGACTTCAAGTGCCAGCTCCAAGGGAGGCAACAACGGAGAGGACTTTCTCTCTAGTGACCCACCCTTCTGTAGAACCTTTTTTCAGTATTAAGCTGGTTGTTTATGCTGAGACTTCTAAAGAGTTACTTGGCTATCCAGGGGCTAGAGGGGATACTCATCCCAGGTGTTTTTCTTTGATAGTTTTTCATTATTTCTGTTTTAGCTGTTTTAAGTTGTTTAATGTTTCTTTTATTTTATGGTATTTTTATTCCTTCCAGAGGGCTTCAGCTATGGGACAGCATAGAAATGAAATAACAGTAATAACAATCATAATGGTGATTGATTTGAACATCTTCTACAATGGCTCCAGCCTGGGTTACCACACTTTCTATATATAAGGCAATTCTGCTGTAAGTCAGACCAGATTTTATTCCCTTTGTGGCAAGAATTAAACAGTAATGATGCTTCCTACTGCCCCATTCTGTTGCTTTACTTTTCTTTTTGCTCTTCACCAGGCCCCTTTGCAAGACAGGCTTTTTCTGAAGTCCAGACTGTGAATTTGATTCTCTCCAATTCCCGTTTAAGCTTCTTTCTCACATGCCTTTTTACTAGGTTAAGGTTTTAGTTGAAATGAAAGCTGCATTCATACCTTTTTCCTGTGTCAAAGCTTCAGCTTAAATAAGAACTGCATTTACTGTCATAAAATGTCCCTGATCTATAACATTAAAATGTATCTGGTTGACTTAATGCATTCATTCTTTAAAGAGAGGCAGTCATTCAGATGGCAAAGCCCTTTCTTTCAGTATAATGTATCCCCCACATTATACTGGAGGGAAAAAAGAGACTGGGGCAGCAGTTGAGGTTGAATGGACATTGGAGGACCTCTAGGCACAGCAATGACAAGAATAAATCTTACTGGTGTTCTACTCTACTGGAATTTACCATAGTTTGGTCAGACCCTCTGTCGGGAGCTGCAGTTCCTTCTTCACTCATTCAAAGCCACAGACTTTTTCTTACAAAGCATTGTTTATTGACCAGAGTACAAAGACACCCAGAATGAATCCCTGAGCATGCACAGAGTGGCTTGTTGAACCCAATCTAGTATTCATCTCCAGGAACTCTCCTTTTGAGCATTTAAATTCAGCATTCCTGCAAGTAAATGAAAGTTCAGCAAAAAGTAGTATATGAAGTAACTTCTTCTTCTACCAATTCACATGGAACAAGTCTGTTCCTTGTTAAGCGTTTCTCAGCATCAGGAAACATCCACTCCCTAAGTCACACATCTACACCTCAGATTGAAAACAGCTTAAAATGCTAATTGTCATGGCTTTTCCCAAAAGACCCTGGTTGCAACAGTTGGTGGGTGCTTATTTTCTTCTAGCGTGACAAGTCCTTTTGTGCCAGCATTGTTATTGCCTTCCGCTTTACTGCAGTGTGTTAGAATTTCATCCCCCTGTAGAGGCTATAGTTAAGCCATCAGCCTCAGGCTGCATCTCTAAAAGCCTACCGCTCATTCCTCACAGATTTTGGAGGAGTACAAAAGGTGTGATCCATTCTTTCACGTCTTTGAAAGTGAAGAAGCCTTGCCCTCTTGTGTGTCATCATAGTGTATGGTGGATGTTACAAGCAGGTGACTCTGGGTGCAACAGAAATACATGCTCTGAGCATGTCCTAGCATGTTTCTTATCTGTTTATTTTCAAAGTTTTCCCTTGTGTATGTCTTATAATTGAACTTAGCTAAACTTGAAATCTGCATCATTCACAGGTTTGATGGATGAAACAGCTGTGATTATCTGAAAGACACAAAATCTTCGACAGTTTTGTTGGTTAGGTTGCTGAAACAATGCACCACAGTTAGTAAAATTGGTTAGTTTTCACTTGATTTGATTCAAGGGCAGTTTCTAATGGACTGAGTTGTTTGCTTGGACATACTATGCTACTCCAGGTTCAAGGGGAAAGGAGTTCACAAGCTGCATCATGACTGAAGCCTTTTGCAGGGACATATGAGACCTGCTTAGAAACTATCCAGTGTTCTGCCAGTCTTCATCTGGGTGTCTTACAGTGGCAGGCAGGCTGAGTCGAAGGCTGAGTGGGTTTCTTCAGGATTGGCCATACTGCTGCCACCTTTAGGGCATCAGCAGCCACTCCTTAGACCCACCCTAGTCATACCTCCTTGGCTAGCTTTTATTAGCCTGGAAGTCCAGGGACTCAGAGGGCAGATGGTCCCTCAGGCAGGCAGGCAGGCAGGCAGGCAGCATGGTTGGCATTGCTGCAGTCAGCTTGTTCATGAGCACAGCAACTGAAACTGATCCCACAAAACTGGGCATATGCCCTGACCAGAGCACCACTAGCAACGGTGTAAAATTCACTGTGGAGTTTGTCCTCAAAGTGCAATGCAAAGGTCTTAGTGGGTCGTTGAAGCACCCAAGGCTCCACTTGTCAAAAAAAGTGTTAACAACTCTCAGACAGTGCAAAAGAGTTCTGCTAGCTGCTTTCTTTGCTTCCTGCATGAGCATGCTATATGTATAAATATGTGCTCTAGAATGTGCTCAGTCATCTTCAGGTTTTATGCCACTTGTACTCTAGCCAGCATCCAGCCTGTTCTACTCTCCTCAGCCCTCCAGTATGCCAAAGAACATAGCAAACTCTACAGTACTGATGAAAGCACTTGGGCACAATCGACTTGTTAGCCCTCCACTTCTCACTGACCCGCAGTGTGACTAGGATTTCAGTTGAATCACCAGCTCTTTTCACTGAAAAGTCCCTAAGACCACTGAAAAATCCATTGCATTCTGTCATTCTCATGGAAGGGTGTTTTTGTGCCCTATGCTGATATACCACGCCCAGTTCAGTGCAGAAACCAATTA